TGCGAGTTGCATCGGATAGCTATGGTCATCAAGTTTCCCCAAATCAAACGCATACTCAGAGAAAACCATTTACTGCATTTCCTCCACAAAACCTTGGGTTTACGCCATTTCGACGTTCGTTTAATCAACAAGCTACATCCGGCTCACGAGACTCAAATCAAGCTCCACAAAAAGCTACAGAGCAGGGTACAAGACTTTTTCTGCCATCTAGGCCATCAAGTTCCGGTACCACTGCCCAGAAGCCCTTGCCACAATGTTTAGATAGGAGCTCCATTCCACCTCAGCTTAGAGAAGTTATGGAAAAGTTTGAAAACAAGATTAGGATGGACGCTGATCTCAGAAACGCTTTTAACATTGTTTTTCCCTGTAAGTTCTTCAATCATTCACCTATTATTGAGAATTTGCTAACATTCATAACAGCACGAAGCATGGAAGTTGAGGAATTGAAACAAAAGATTATCAACGAAAGACATCAAGCCTCTCAGAGAGAAAACGCTTTAAAAAATATGCTTACTGAGCTTCAAGATAATGCCACCGCTCAAGAAGCCTTGCAAACCAGAGCAATGGGTCTCCTTACTCAACTCAGAGCAAATCCTCAACACGATAGATCGTGGGTGTGTAGGAACTTCGACAAGGAACATGGTCAACCCTGTAACAATGTCCAGAAGGAATTCTATTTGACAAAAAAAGTTTGGAAAAGACGCGAAAGATGCTCTAAATGCAAAGCCAAGGTTCATGAGCTGAATCGACAATATCTTAATGATGATACAGCTGTTGCATCATGGAACTTTGAACAACTTGGTCCTTTCGGTCCCGCTTTTCCCGCCCCGCCAGAATTTCAACGCCCTGAGTCTTTGGAACATACGAGGAATACGTCCGACAAGGCAGAAAAGAATACAGTCATCTGGGTTGATTCTGCTCGTCGTCAGTCACTACCTACTTTTCCTGTTGATGATAAAGATGCTCAAGAAAGTACGGAATCCAGATGGGCTTCATTACCACCACCTACCAAGAAGACTCGAGATCATACGCCATTGCATTATTCCAAAGCAACCCAGAATGCCTTGAGAGCGGCACTTGGAACACAACCCAAGGCATGGATGCAACCACCAAAGCATATTGAGACGATTGTTTTGGATGATGAAAGTGATCAGGACGACGAGACAGATCAATCACAAGAAAGTTTCAATGAGACACCAACAGTTGAGCAAGAAACTGGCGTTGAAAACACTATGGATGCTGGTTTTGATGCTGATTTTGATGCTGAGTTTGAAGCAGAATTGGAGGCTGACCTCACTACTGCTCTTAAGACGGAAGTTTCATAGGAGGTACGGAATACTAGATTTACCACATTATGCTCGACGGATCTGCATTCTGTACCTATGAGCATGGTCTTCATATAGTTGTTTGGCAGCGTTGGGTCAGCACGTTTGACTTTTATAGTCATTCAAGAATCGCACTTGTCACTTTGCCTTCCTTGATCCTTAACATGAAGATGCACAAGGAAGAGGAGCCTTTGGCAAGTGTGGGCAATGAGCTTTATGTCACTTATTTTTGACGAATCCTTTCACAAAATAATCAGAATCGAGTCTGTATTTTCTTCTACTCGGGCCTGAGTTATTATATGGTGTGTTGTGGAGGAATCATGGCGACAAATTTTGTCTTTGTTTTGTCATTCTTGTATTTTCTTTTGCGTTTTTCCAATGTATTAAAGGGTGCTCAATCCATTAGAGAGAATGGCTCTTCTTACAGGGGATATTCATAGCTATCATTTGAGTTTTCCTTCAGTGCACATCATTTCCGTTAGACCAGGGAGGATGCACTACGTCATGATACCAGTATAGATATGGAGAGTAATTTGCAGCTGCTTAGTACATAGTGCGTAGTGAGTTGTGCAGTGGGCTTGGGTTCTAGCCTTGGTTTGGGCTTCTGGCTTGAATTCGAGGGATACGGTCAAATACCTAGGTACCTGAAGGAGATCAAAACAAATAGGAGAATAATGACAAAACTTATTAAAAATGTCTTTTCGTATGCAATGACAGTTACGTGAAATGAAGAGGTGCTTATGGTGAAGAGATAGATGCTTTGGTATGGATCACCGCAACTACCTACACAACATGATAGCTTTGAGTATAGACTTCATACTATATATACTAGGTACATACATACTATCGTAGGTCATGAGCTAGTATATGAGTATATGGTATATATAGTATATAAGAGGGTTTAGACTAGTATTAGTCTATTATGGGAAGCTGGCTCGTATTAACAACTAAATAGCTTATGAAACACGTGATTTTCATGAAACAATATATGATATTCCTTATTTCTTATTCTACATTCGAGGGGGAAAGGCCTTATTTTATGCTTTTTTCCTACCAATCTAGCTTTCCACCATCGTAGATCTCTTCCTTTTCCGGCCATTCCATTAGATACAGCTCTTCTTTCTTATTCCTTATTCGATTTCACTATAGTTACGTCAACCTAGCTACGTATGAGTTGAAAGAGCTAATAAAGAATCGGTTTTCCGGCCGTCCTAGGCTAGTGGCCTTAAGCGACGATCACGTGATATGATCATGTGACTTGGTCAGGTGATCCAGTGATTCGCTCCCAGTATACTATACGAATATAGAACTATATATATATATATATATATATATATATAAAAGATGTATTATTATATTATTTTCATATAAAAACAATACATACCTAGATAGTAAGAGAATAAATCTATCTCCTATTCAATGTTATATTATATCTTGATGGATATATACTTAGTAGGTACTAGAATCTAGATAGGTATTTAATATTTAAGTTAATGTTTAGATTATTATTTACTATTATTATATTAGTAGGTAGATAGATGAGTAGATGAGTAGATGAGTAAATGAATAGATAAGTAAATAGATAGATAAATAGATAAATAGATGAGTAGATGAATAGATGAGTAGATAAATAGATGAATAGATAAATAAATGAATAGATTAATAAATAAGTAAATAAATAGATGAGTAAATAAGTAGATAAGTAGATAAGTAGGTAGATAGTTAATAAATCTTATAAATTCTTAATTATATTAAATACTATATTTTGAGCATATATGAGTATATATCTAGTATATTGAATATATACATTAAATACTTATAAAAAGAGATCTATTCGAATATACTATATCTATATCTATATTTATTCTTCCCCTATCCCCTATCTTCTCTCCTTATCCCTCTCATCCCTCTCATCTCTTTTATTCCTCTTATCCCTCTTATCCCTTTCATTCCTCTCATCCCTCTTATCCCTTTTATCCCTCTTATCCCTTTATCCCTTTATTCCTTTTATTCCTTTTATCTCTTTTATCTCTTTTATTCTTTTATTCCTTTTATTCCTTTTATTCTTTTTATTCCTTTTATTTCTTTTATTCCTTTCATTCTTCTCATCTCTTTTATCTCTCTCATTCCTCTTATTCCTCTTATCCCTCTCATCCCTCTCATCCCTCTTATCCCTTTTATCCCTCTCATTCCTCTCATCCCTCTTACCCCCTCCCCTCATCTATTTATTCACATCCATTTATAATTCCATACCTATTTAGTATCTACCCACCTACTCAAATATAATCCCATAAATCTATTAATACATGTAAATAAACTATATATTATTTTTTCTTAATATCTATCCATTCATTACTTAAGCTTTCATTTATCTAAACTTTCTATTATTCAAGCTTCCCGGCCCACGACCTAAGCTTCTTCTCAATAGACTTTTTAATGAACTTCTTAATGGACTTCTCATCTATCTCATCCCTTTACTTCCCTTCACCCCCCTTCCCTTCGCTTCCCTTCCCCTTACTTCTATACAGCACAGCACAGCACAGTACAATTCATTAAATTCTAACTTCTAACTTCTAAATTCTAACTTCTAACTTCTAAATTCTAACTTCTAACTTCTAAATTCTAACTTCTAACTTCTAAATTCTAACTTCTAAATTCTAACCTCCAACCTCCAACCTCCAACCTCCAACCTCCAACCTCGAATCTCCGACTTCTAACTTCTAACTTCTCTTTCTGCCTACCAGATATGTAAAATCTTAGGTCTTGGGACGAGATGGTAATATCTGAATATATGAATAGATAAATAGATAGGTAGATAAATTCCAATTCCAATTCCAATTCCAATTCCAATTCCAATTCCAATTCCAATTCCAATTCCAATTCCAATTCCAATTCCAATTCCAATTCCAATTCCAATTCCAATTCCAATTCCAATTCCAATTCCAATTCCAATTCCAATTCCAATTTCAATTCCAATTCTAATTCCAATTCTAATTTCAATTCCAATTCTGATTCCAATTCTAATTTCAATTTTAATTTCAATTCTATATTTAATATCTATCTATCTATCTATTTTTTTTTTTTCTATCTTTCTATCTATTTATTTATTTTATTTATCTTTCTATTTATTTATCTTTCTATTTATTTATCTATCTATCTATTATCTATCATCTATCTATTTAAAATAAAAGGAATAGAATAAAATAAATAAAATAAAATAAGTGGAATGAGATATACTATAGTATATATATTACATTATAAGTATAAGTATAAGAAACGAGTATAAGAGATGAGTATTAGATATTAGATATTAGATATTAGATATTAGATATTAGATATTAGATATTAGATATTAGATATTAGATATTAGATATTAGATATTAGATATTAGATATTAGATATTAGATATTAGATATTAGATATTAGATATTAGATATTAGATATTAGATATTAGATATTAGAAAAGGAAAGTGATTAATTAATTGATTGATCAATTGATTAATTGATTAATTGACTCCTCTATAAAGTTTTCTCTCATTTCCTTTCTGTTATGTAATGTATTTCAAGGAGGAAAGGAAGGGAAGAAAGAAAGAAAGAAAGAAAACTCTCTTCTCGTCTCGTCTAGAACTCCTTGATACCATCTCGCATCTCATAGTATAACATCTCCTGTCCTCTCCTCTCCTCTCCTCACCACATATCAGCAAGCACAAATCAGCAAGCACAATCCATTACAATACACAGCCAAGACAAGAAAGATAGGTAGTTTAAATAGTAGGTAGGTATGTAGGTATCTCATTTCGAGCGAGAAAATTGTAGTCATGAATTTAAAATTAAAAAGTACCTTCCATCCCATTCCTTCCAAACCAATCCTCAAATGCTAAGTTGAAAAAATAAAAACACCATCGTTATGTGATTGGCATCACTCACTCAATCCATATGAATTATTTTGTACCCATTTCCATTCCCCCTCGACTGAAAAATCTCCTTTCCTTCATTTCCAGATTGCGATGTCGTCCAGTTCTTGCAAAGGATTCGATGCGCAGTCAGGAATGGTCGATTGTTTATCTGTCGGAAGATACTAGGTATATCTTCACATCCATGAACGAAACGAACTATGCGAGGGAAAAAATGCAAAGTGGAGATTCGTGTTTCTTTGAAATGGACTTCTTACAAGATGTAAGCAGCAACACCGAGGAGACCAGCAAGGCTGGCACCAGAGAGTGCCATGGCGCGGTTTCCGTTGTTGGATACAACGATGGGTGCGGTGGTGGAAGCAGATGGGCTGGATCCGGCTGGGGCAGAGGTGGTTCCGACGGATGATCCCTTGCTGGTGGTAACGCCACCGGTTGCTGCTGGTGCAGTGTTGTTACCCCAGGCGGGGGCAGAGCTGATGGCAGCAGAGCTAACTGGAGCAGTTGGGGCGGCAGTGCTAGAAGATGTGAGCATTGTGAAGATTTCATCTTCTGTGTCATGGGACTACATACCAGGTGTTGCAGATGACGGAAGAGGTGGTGTAAACTGGCTTGGAGATTGTACATGGGCAGTTGGTGATGGTGACCGTCTCACTCTGTGAAGCGCATTAGTATTTTGTGATGTGGTAACTCCAGCTTGAAACAAAGAAATGGTAGATCGCGTGGCTGGATTCTTCTGAATGGACCGCGCCAAACTACTTTGTATTCATGTTCCGGGTGGGAAGAAGTACCTCGGTGGCAGTGTAAGTTACACCGTTGAAGGAGAAACTGGTTGCAGCTGGGCAGACGGTGACGAAGGAAGTAACGACATCAGTAACCCAGACGGCAGCGATGCTGGAGTTTCCGTAGGCGGAGGCGGAGACTGCGAGAGCAGAGATCATGGCGACGGTAGAGAATTGCATCTTGAAAGATTTCGATTGATATTATTAAGGAATAAGTGGTGGATTATGGTTGGATTATTTGAGAGTTTGGATTTGTTTTGTTTACGAGAAACGAATGTAAGTGACCAAAAGTCGGGTGAGGGAGTATTATTGCGATGAAAAGGCGAAGAGGTGAAAGAGTGAATGTGAGGTGTATTTGGAGTGAATGAGGTAAGTGAGTGAAGAAAGAAGTGAGAGCAGGAGAGAGATTATAATGAGGATCTTATATCGTGAAAGTGGATCATGACCAAGCCAGGACCATGTAACTTTATTAATACTATGTACCCAGGTATGCACGATGAAATTCTACGAGAGGAAAGAAGTGGGAAAGCATTTGACCAGGACGGAAAATGATCGATCCCTTTTGAGAATTATTGGAGAATCATTTGAAAATCATTTGAGAATCATTTGAGAATCATTTGGAGAACTCTATCACCTCTGCTCAACTTTATCCGGGGACTAATGCCACATGGAGTTTAGATCTCGTCTGGACGATGCAGGTACACACCGGATATCATTGGATCAATGCCAACATTAATTTACGGCGACGGACGAATGAGAAGATGTGGTGGCGATCATCATTGGTTCCCAGAGATCAGCCAAACAACTTGTACAGGAGGATGATGGGAAGAATGGATTGAAATGTTTGGTCTTGGCAACACTTGGATAACTGGGCAAAGAGGGACGTTGTGAGAATGGATGGGTGGTGTGGGTTATTTGTGAAAGGAGAGAGGGAGTGAGAGGGAGAATGAGAGGGAGAATGAGAGGGAGAAGGAGAGGAAGTAGGAGAGGGAGTAGGAGATGGAGTAGGAGAAGGAGATGGAGAAGGAGTAGGAGAGAAAGAAGTAAAAGAAGAAGATTTAATATAAATAAGTTAACTGTCAAAAACGGTCAAAGAAGGTTGTCTATCCATCTGTCATTCTTCACTTAATTCTATTCACAAGCATTTTCCTTGATAACTGTACCTACTTTACCTACCATACATGATTTAATCACATCTAGATAATCTCATGATCAAGAAGTAATATCGTTAATATCGTTAACATCGTTAATGTCATGAACATCTTCTACAGTACAGAGTAGTTACTTCTCTTATTTTCTGATGAATTATATAATCAGTTGATTCATAACTCACAACTCACAACTCACAACTCATCAATCATCAATCATCAATCCATCATAAAAGATATCGATATCTAAATCTCAATCTCCTTTCCTTTCCCTTCCCTTTCCACTTCTAGTAGTAATGTGATGTGATATAATGTGGTTTGCTTACCTAGTACCTCCTAGTCTCTAGATCCCTTACAAGTTCTTCGGTCTTGCAGTAGCGTCAGGGGTAAACTCACTTGGTAGACTATCGTACTATCGTAGATATACTAATAAGATCTTACAATCGCTTCTACCGACCGACTACCATTCCTACCGATTACCACTTCTACCGGTATCTAATAATAATAATCCTAACGACGACCAGACGACTAAAGATAAGCCAGATCAATATCAAAAAAAGTTTAAGAAAAGTTTAAGAATAGTCTCATCATGACGCGAGAATCAAACAAAAAGAAGAGAATCCCCCGATAGAGTAGAAATGCATTTCTTATGCATTTCTTATTACATAGAGACTCATTCGTTACCGCTCCATCGCTCACTCGCTCACTCGCTCACTCATCCATTCATTCAATCTCCACTCACCAAGAAATCAATATTCCAAACTTTATTATTGAAGTGGATCGATCAAGACTCAATTCTTTTGCCTCTCATCTTCATTACGAGGTAATGTCCTCCGTATACGAAGTACAATAACAATAATACTTGGCCCGATTCTCTTGGTTCTTTTAATTTACATACCCAGCCCCAGCTATCTTCCACGACAACATGTGTTTGTTTTCTTTTGCAGCAGGAAAAACAAACAAACATACAACAATGAGGTTCTCCCGCTTAAACCTTGCATTAATATTCATATCACTCTCCTTATCATATCATTTACCCTTTCCCCACCAATGACTTCCCATAACCGTTACATTACAAACGCCAGCTTTTCATATCCTGGATCCCACAGATCATAAAGAAAATCCGGGGTGATGGTGGAAACCGAGCGGTAAGGAGCTGGTTGGTTAGTTGCTGGCTGGATGGCTGGATGGCTGGATGATTGGCTGACTGACTGGCTGATGAGTGTAATTGTTTCTTTCCATCATTCATTCCACAAGAGGGGTACGATGTCTCTTTCTTCATGAATTTCAACTTCACATCCAAGTTTACAATTAAACTCCAGACACTTCTTCCAATGCTCAATCAGAAATTACATTGCATTAATTGCAATTAGACATTGGAATTTCTCTTCAAAAATCTTCCGAGACACAAATGATAGAATATCTTTTCCTGTTGAAAATCGACCAATGTATCATTTGTTGTACCTGCATACGGCAATCATGCATGATTAGTTGCTGCGGGGAAGGATATCTTACTGGGAAGATTCTCTTGCTACTGTAGGGAAAAATCTCTCATGCAGTCAAACAAAGAGTTCCAGGATCTTATTCCTTTGGAAAAGAAGAAAATAAATGGAAGACTGACCATCGGTCCATTCGGAGTGTGTCAGAGAAGAATGCATGATGTTCAAGTGACATGGCATTTCACACAATTGCGAAAAGACTTCGGAGTGTACAAACCGAAGTCAATTATTCCTGATTTGGTGTACTCCCTGTTGATGCAACAAATCATTTCATTTTCCGACGGGTACGTACTTGAGTCTTTGAGATGCTCGTCTTGGTATCCCGTTTCAGCCGCCTACCCGAGAAGAGATGCCATGTTATGTTCAGGATGGATAATAGTGAAGGTTTTGCCACCGCAGCGTTGTACAAGATCGACGCATTGAGAGCAAGGGGTATTTCGGCGCATGTGGAAGAATAGGTCCAGATCTTTCGATGTTCTCTCTACAGTTATTATGTTTTGCCTTGTCTGATTGAATGAATAGAAGCACATCTAGAGCAAGTTCTTTCCCGATTGCCATATTGAGGTGTCTATTTTACATGCAGGTACATGTAATATGACTGGCTCATGCAGATGTTCAAATATGTTTGCTTGCTTATTCTTGATATTCTTGACATCATTGGCACCCCTTTCCTTTTGCGAATGATTAGTCTTAATCAATCTCCTCTTCCAAACATCCAATCTCCGTTTGATGCACAACATATCCCGTTTGTTATTCTAAACCTTCTGTGTTATGATGGGTTGTTAAGGACGCAGAGGATCTACGAACAATTTGTAACCAAGTCGGAAAATCAAAACTATCGAATCACATCACAATTTCACGAGTGACATCTTTGTGGAAATGAAATCGCACTATAGATCTGTGAAGGGCTCTTCAATTATCCCGCCTTTACAGATTTACACTACGATCTTGCGAAAAGATAGCAAAGCAAAGCAAAACACAGATAATATAACAGAGCAATAAATGACTTCATTATTGTTTCCTCTGTAGACCTGGCTGTTCTTTTAGATCTTGCTTTTTATTTCGGCTCTCTAGTCATCACTATCAGTTGTAGACTACTTTGAACAATTTTAGTAATATTCTGTTCTGTTACAAATATATACATCATTTTCAATCAATCTCAATCTCAACATATCATGACATAATGTCAGCTCTCTACTTTACCACCTACCACCCATACATCCCCGATCAATCATACTAATCGATAGCACCCGGCAAGTATTGAAGCGGACGATGATTACCTAGGTAATTGCAACAAACGAGCAAACCAAAACCGAACAAAATTATTCTGCCATAACCTAATCACGTGGACGGTGATAATTTTTCATTTGTTCAGAAAAGAAAATCGTTTTGTTGCATGTCTGAAAAATTGTTCGGTCTTTACTCTTCCCTTCCATCCTTCTTCTTTCTTCTTTCTTCTTCTTCTTTCTTTTTCAAGCTGGTGGGTGAGGTGAAATTTGAAGATTTTCTAGTGACGGGGATGGGAATATGGATGGGAATATGGATGGATGGATGGATGGATTTTGGAGGTTGAGGTTTGAGGGTATTTCTGGGGTGGTGTTTTTTCTTGGGGGTGAGAGGGGGTGGGTGAGTTGATTATCGAGTGATATGATATGATATGAGGGAGAACTATGTTGGTAGGTAGCTAGGTAGTTTGTTGGTGTTGGCTTGGTACTGTGTGCAGACCTGGTGGACTGAGAATTGGGTTGGGTGATGGGTGATGGGTGGTGGGTGATGGGTGATGGGTGGTGGGTTGAGTTGAGTTGAGTTGAGTTGATGATGGTTGATGATGGTTGGAGTTGCTATAGTTAGGTAGGGGGTAGGTAGGTAGGTAGGTAGGTAGGTACCTAGTAGGTAGGTAGGTAGGTAGGTAGTTGATTCATAGATTTGTTTGATTGATGATTGATTTGGTTTGTTTGTTTGATTGGTTTGATTAGTTAGTTGGTAGCTATCGATTTAATTTTTTAAATTTTTTAAATTTTTGATTAGAACTAACTGGTTTTTCCTCTCTCTTTTTATAAATAGTAGCCTACATATAGCTACAAAAGAAGATACTCCACAATCAACTCATCTCTTCCTCCTCTCTCTTGTAAAAATCGAAGCATCTCTCGAATTCCTTCTGAGTTGGTCGCGGTGCTGCTGTCGCTATCGCTGTTGCCGTAGAGATCGCTGAATTGTAGGTGGGTGGGGAAGGAGGGATGGAGGGTTGTGAGATTCATTTTTGGGGGGTTCTCTAGGGCGGTTGTAGAGCTGATTTCGATGGGGGGGTCATTTAGAGTGGCGGCGCGGGTTTGGGCGGGATCTTCTTCTTCTTCTTCTTCTTCCCTATTCCTTTCATCCTCCGCAGGTAAATTCTCAGCTTCCTTGACTAAGTTTCCTTCATCTTCATCTTCATCCCCATCCCCAGGATTCGAAAGATGGAAAAGCGAGCTTCTTGATGCGCAAACGATAGCACACATACGAGTTGTTCTTTCGATATATGCGGCAGGGATGAGAGGTTCGGGGTTCCAGTGGATGGAGAGGGTGATGGGCTTGCATTCTTTGGGTTTGGGGAGTCGCGAGAGAGGAGCGAGCGGGATTCGCGATTGTGTGGGAGGAGGAGGAAGAGGAAGTGCGGATCGGGTAGAGTGCGGTTCTGCAGGTTGTTGACCATCATCATCATCCACCTCGTCGTTCCCACTTTCTCTAACATCCCCAGCTTGTCGGGTTGGTCGACGCCTCCCCCCTTCCTCATTCTCCTGATTCTCCTGATTCTCCCCCGCACACTCTCGCGCTCGCGGTCCTCCACTCGCCCGCTCGATTTCCCACCTTTCCCCCGCCTGTCTCCTTCTCCTCATCTCCCTCATCTCTGCGGTTTCAGACCCTTCAGGCTTTCCATCAACCGGATCCTCATAGATCCGAAACTCCCACCTCCTCTTCCGATCTTTTTCCCCCCTTAATCCCTGGCTCTTGTGTTGACCAAATATCCCTAATACTCCTCCGTGGAAGGGGGATGTTTGTTCTCGTCTCCATGCGCTCCCTAAACCTACTTCTCCCACTCTACTCCCTAGATTTCCTAGTGGGTTATGAGTGAGAGTATTTCTCCCACTAACACCACTAACACCACTAACACCACTAACACCACTAACAACCATCTCACCCCCTTCAATCCCATCCCCCATCACTCCTTCTCCCCCATCTCCACTCTCTACCTCATCTCATCCGTTAGCTAGACCCCTCAAAATATCAGGAATTCCAATATACCTTCCATCCATTCAACATGTTTCTGCGCCTCTTCTCTTTGCGATCGAAGCTTCTTTTCGATGGAGATGATTACCCGCGCTACTAGAAAATCATAACTTGCATGGACTAGTTCCTCGGGAGTGAAAGTTATAAATTCGCAATCGAGGAGGGGAGTTGAAGATTCGGAGGAGCTGAATGCGAAGAGGGGGAGCGAGAGGCCGGGTTGGTAGGGGGCTGGAGAGCTTGGTTGAGTTTCGGTGGAAGGCTCGGTTGGGGGGTTGGGGGGTTCTTCGTCTTTTGAGGGTGAGGATGGGTGTGTGTGTGATTCTGATGCTAGTGCGACTTCTAGAGATCTGAGAGAAAGGGTAGTGGGAAGAGGAAAAGGAGGAGAGGAGGGAGAATCGGCGGAATGGGAATGAGAAACTGTCTGGGGAGGGGAAGGAGGGAATGATAGAGCAGATTGAGGTGGGAAATCGGATGTGGAAGGGATGGGGATTTGGGGGAGGGAGACTGATTTGATGAGTTGCTTGTTGGGATCAGTGGGATCGGGAGAGTCTTTGGGTTCGTTGGGTTTGGACATCGTGGATGGAGATGATGTGGATGGGGATGGGATTCGATGTAGATGTAGATGTATGTGAGGGTATGGAATGAAATGACGATTTTGGGGGAAGAATCGAGATATTGGCGGGATTATGATTGGGGAGTTGTAGGATAGAGGATTGATGGGGAGGAAGATGGGGAAGAATGGATAGGTGAGTAAGAGAGTAAGTACTTACTTATATACTGATACTACATAATACGATATAGCACGAATGACGAGAAAGAAGAGAAAAAGAAAGAAAAAGAAAGAGCTTTACAGATAGAGGGTCATGGGGTATAATAGAAACATTCTGAGATTTGTGAGAAGGTCATGAGATTTTGATCTTAGGAGTGATCTTGATGTCACTCTGAGAGTCAATTGGAATAAAATTATAAGGTATTTCTTCCGTCCAAAATTTCATTTCGTATTATCTGTTTATTTCCACATCTATCCAAAATCCCAAGACTCTCGTTAAAGAATCTCAAAGTATTGAGATTTGAATGAATGGATGTGTGATGAGTAGCAAACACACAAGCAAATATTGTCTCGTGGATAGAAGTGGAGTCATTCCTGTGATGGATATGCTGTAGAAGCTTTTATTTTGTGGTTTTGTTTTATGTTTTTCTTGTAAGATTACCTTCTTATACTTTCTTACACCTTCTTTCCTTCCTTTCTTTCTTCTATGCGAAAATCAAAATGAAGATGAAGATAGATGTGGAAGAAAGAAATTTGGGGGTGGTGAGTCATGGCACTCAAGATATAAAGCAACATGTGTTTCGCTTTCTGCAATGCATTAAGCGAGCGAGAGGAGTGGAAGGAGTGGCTGGGATTTCTTGAGATTAGACAGTAGATGGATAGAGAACAAAGGGAATGCGATGGAAGAGAAGAGAAGAGGGGATAGAAAGCTTGATGTTCAGATATTTATATCTCCTTTCTTTCTTTCTCTTCTGAGAGGAAGAGAAGGGGAATAGAAGAAGGAAGTGAAAAATTTGGATTGGATTGGATTGGATTGGATGGGATTGAATTTTTCTCAAGGCTGTATTTTATGTTAATATCTGGATACACATTCTACCATTCACTACACTTCTCATACTGGCATAGGTATCCAAGTTAGCTCAACCGAGCAAAGCAAACGTTAAAAATCACGAAAATTCAGGATCTCACTTATTCCCGAAATTTAAAATACAACATACAGTAGTCGTGCAGCGGAGATGTCTTTCCCCTTTTTGTCGAAACGAAATTCGCGCTTCCGGTCTCGCGAATCGCGATACCCGGAGAGGAAATCTAAGATGGGTTTGAGAATTGGATCGAGGGTGGAGAGATTTAAAACCTCTTTTTCGATTTTTCGAGGGAGAAAAGGTTCGATTGAGAGGTGTCAGGGGAAGAGGAGATTTGGTATTAAGAGACGATGGCGATTTCGAACTCGTTTCCCATCTCGATTTCGATTTCGATCACGAAACCTCAAAGCCTCGTCCCGAATCTCCGCTCGTCGATGGCATTTTCCAAGCTTCAAATCGAACTTGATGACTAGATTTCCTCTCAAACTCCATCTCAAATCTAAGTGTCGAAAAAGGAAACTTAAGCAAAGACACGAGTTGGTTATTTCTGCTCCGATTGTGAATACGCATTATCCTGGACCCATCGATGATTCGGTAAATGTAAGTAATGAATCTAGATCTTAATTCCCATCTGGATAGTTCGTTAACAAACAGTGTGATAGAATCCATTAACTCCGCTAAATCAGCAAGTGATCCCTGGATACCAGTACCCCTTTTCCCTTGCGCCGGAAAAATTTCCAGAAGTCTTTTATAGACTTCATCGTACGGAGAATTGGATGGATATCCACTCGCCCCTGCCCTCTCAACCGTACAATCCTTCCGAACACGGCTGGTCTGCGAAAGATACACAGACTCCTCTCCCCTCCTCCCCAAGAGAAATACTTGCTCTAGTACGAAATCATTTTTCTGAGAAAAGTGCGTATGCATCTACACCCTCGAATTCCATCTTTGTCCCGGGGGTATGGAGAGCAGGGAAGAGTTCGAAGGTTAGTTTGTGGGATGATGAAGAGGATGCGCGGGAGGAGGGGAGGAGGATTGGTGGAGTGGAGATTTTTGAGGTGGCTGGGGAGGGGTTGAGGGAGGGGGGGAGTGTGGTGTTTTGTTTGGAGGAGTTGTTGGGGAGGAGTAGTGCGTTGTGTTGGGTTACAAGGGGGAGGTATGGGAGGGTGGGTTCTGGGAGGAAGGGGAAGGGGAAGGGGAGGAGAAAGGGAGGAGGATGGGGATGGGGGAAAGGAGGGAGGAGAGAGGGAGAGGGGTTGAGGGGGAAGGCGTATTTGGTTGTGGGGGTTATTCCTGGTGAGTTTTTTTTTTTTCAGTTTTTTTTCGGCATGGGTGTGTCCTTGCGTGTCTGTTTTTGGGAATGGAAAATGGAAATGGAATGAATGATGTAGAGGGAATACTAACTTTACAGGTACACACAATCTTCCGCATCCATCTCCCATTATTCCCACACCAAATACAACAAACGCAAACACAAACCATGCATTTCATATCCAGAATAAGGAAGAAGATTTTATAAATGAGGGAACAGCAAGAGCTTCCTCGTACTCTAGCATCTCTACGCATGGCCGAGAAAATTCTGGTACTGTTGGAGAGTTTGATTTTGAATTCGGGCAGCAACGGAAACAAGACCAAGAACAAATTCGAGATACTCCCCTTTCTCAGATACCATATCCATCCTCCCATATCAAACATCCAAGCCTCCGCGAAAGAAAATATAATCCTGGGGTCTTCAAGTGGACTCTAGAGAATCCCCACGCGAACGATATACAAGAATTTGAGATAGAAAGAGATGTGAGGAGATGTGCGCTGGGAATGAAACGCGATAGCGCGTTTAGAAGAATGGAGAAGATTTCGGAGGATATAGGGGATGGGGGATTTGTGGACGAGAGTGTGGGTGGGGGTGAAGTGGGAGTGGAGGAGGAGATGAGGGGTATAGATGATGAGCGCTCGAGAGAATGGAGTTGGGGCGATGGTGAGAAGGAAAGGGGATACGAACAAGAGAAAAATTCAAACCCAAAGAGAAGAATTACATCAACAGCGAAAATCACGAGGAAAGGGACGTTTGGTGAGAAGTTCAGAGAGAAATCAGCAGTTTTTCAAGATGAGGAGAGGGTTTCTTTGCGGGACCAATCATTTACATCGCGCGATTTCGATAGGAGTGATAGTGATAGTGATGGAAGAGGGAGAGTGGAGAGAACTCGATTTGTTGATACAGGAACATCGATTTGTGATCGCATTTTTGGCGAAGAAGATAGTTCGGAGGATGGTTTGAGCGCGGGGGATGTTCCTGCGGGTGCGGGTGCGGTGAGGAAGAGGGAGGTGGTTTGTGGGATGTTGGAGACGAAATGTGGATGTGATAATTGTGCACGGGAAGAGGGTGGAGATAGAAAATCTAGGAGTTTGGGTATGGGACTACCTGGGAAGAAGGTAAGGAGGGAAGAAAATGATTGTGAGTATGAAAGCAGCAGTGGGAGGGAAAGAAAAGACGTATCCCTTGGTTCGCGTATGTCTTCTTTTGTCGGCGCGGTGGATAATGATAAAGATAGTGAGGAGCAAGAGGATTTGCAGCATGAGGATACAGATTTCGATATCGAAACCACTGAACGAGAAGAAGCCATTCATCCTCAAACCACCGCAAAATCCACCACAAAATCCAGGATCCCGATAGAATATCTCAAATCTAGAAGACCGATCCCCAGAAACACGATATCGAGAGATGCTACTAGAGATAATTAGAGATACCTATCTCAAAAACGATAAACAGACAAGAAGATGGGAATGTGAGATGGGTGGGAGAGGATTAGTTGATTTGATTCCTGAGGAACGAGTTGAAGATAATTGATCGGGATCGGGATTGGAATGGGGACTCAGGGGGATGTAGATATGATACAAGGAGGTAATAGATCTGAAATATTCTGGCACTGCGAAATCCGATTGACTTATTTCCACTTCTAGCATCGGATTTCCTTTTCGCACTGACCGAATTCCAGAGTTGGGTAGCACAGCACGTCTTTCCCAATCTGAACAAATGTCCAGACCTACATCTGTATTCACATCCACTCTCAACTCCCACTCCAATCCCGGGATGGAAATCGAAATCGAACCCGAACCCGAAACGGAATTCCAAATTGAAATCACCAAAAATCACAACAAAAAAAACTCTATCTCTTCAAATCCATTCTCGCCCTCTTCATTCGTCTCTACAACGACATGACAAAAAATGCTATCTAGTTGAGTGGGAAGATTTGTGGGTTCCTATGTGGTAGGTAATGAGGGAGATGGATAGGGCTTTGGGGGAATGTGGAGAAGAAGAGATGTGGGAAGTTGGAGAGGGGAGGGGAGGGAAGACTGGAGAGGATTGCATAGGAAGAGGAGATTGGGGACATGGGAGGGAAGAAGAAAAAGAAGAAAGATATCTGGTCGAGCGAGAGAAAATCTCAAGACCTGAGTGTGTAGAAAAGACGATGGTGAGTGAGAGATTATTCGAGGAGCTTGAGAAGAGGAGGAGATGATGGAGGGTTCTTGAGGAGGGAGGGAGAATTATTGACGACACGAATATTAAAAATGATGATCAATTATCAGTAACCTCCATATGATTACTATGATTACCTACCTAACCTACCTATCTACTTAGAGAAATTAACCGAATAAATCCAAACAACTCATCCATTCACCCCCCTACATCTTCCCTTTGATTTTCTCTCTCCCGAGGTCTCTCTCTATCTCCTCTTCAATCTTCAAGATAACATACTACTCGATATACAAGTAGGTACCTTATCAAACACATCCATGGATCAAATCAAACACATCAAAAAATCCCAGCCGCATGCATAAATACAAAAAACATCTCACTTAATCCACCGAGGTACTCGACCTCATCTTCATCTTCATCTATTCTGCCATACCTATGTCTCGAGACATGAATGAGTTTACCCGTAAAGATAGAGTAACACCTGACTTTTCTTCCATTTATTATTAATTTCCTCTTACCAAGTTAGATTTTAAGATTTGAATTTGAGATGTAAGATTTGAATCAAACTGCATATGAGAGATTATAATGACAAGTTATACTTTTCAGGATTTCAGAATCGAAGAGAAAAAATAGAAAAAGAAGTCTTCCGATCACGAGTAGGGGAATGAATATTCCATTCCATGTATCTATCGTAGTTGATGCATTTATTATTTTGTTTCTTGGGAACTTTTGGTAATAGATTAGTTTATCTATAGAAGCACTTGTATGGGTGAAGGTATATGTGAAAGTATTCATGTTTATACTCGATGGGATGTACTCTCTTAGGAAGATGCTTGGTGGTAGATGAGACAATGTGGATTTTCTTTATATAGTGATGGAAAATAGGCAGAGAAAGAAGGAGGAAGGGGAAGAGTGTGGTCTTGATGAGAAGCTTTGTCAAGGGAAGAATGAAAAATAAAGGAGCAGAGAAATCAGACTGTAAATTAATTGGAAATTTATTTTCTCCGCAAGAATATTCCAAAAATATCTCTCCTCTCATCCTGTCCCCCCTACATCTCCTTCCCAGATCCCCTCACTCTAAGCATACTGCAATCTCTCACTGCTATAAGCTGGCTGCAGATAACTCCAATCCCTACTAAACCCAAACCCACTCTCATAAACCCCATAACTAACCAACTCCACACTATCCAACTTCGCCCCCTCATCTTGCATCGCCCACAAACTAATCGCCAACTTGTTCTTTCCTCGGTTATTGATGATTCCTGGTGGAATAGGGAACACTGTTTGCGGTCCAATATGTGGTACGTATTTTCCGTATTGGTAACCGTTGATCCAGAACATAACTCTGGCAACAGTGCCCGCTGGTGCGGAGAACTTAATTCCAAGCGGAACATCGAGGTCTGCATCGAGTACCAAATTGAAAGTCGTAGAATACCATGAGATTCCAGAAGTATTCAGACCCACCAAAGGAGTAGATTTTGAAGACAAAGAAGGAGAAGAAGGTAAATGCCATCCGAGTCTCTCGCCGTAGAAACCACCCTCATTCATAGGACCACGTACTGCATCGATATTTGCACTACCTCCTGCATTTCCTTGTATTTTCCAAAGTTTGAAACCGGTGGAATTAGCTGGTTTGGGTAGGAGAGATGCGCCGAGGATACCACGGGGATTTTCGACTCCCTTCGCAGTGGATGTCTCGTCGTGTCCATGATAGTCTACTACAACTGTGACAAGGTTATTGGTGAGTTTAATAATAGAGGTGTGGGTTGAAAGATCGAGAATGGCGTTGGTAGTTGTTGCAGTCGCATTACCAGTGTTTCCACCGATCAAAACACCGTTTAACCAGGCAGACCATCCAAATGCTAAACCTCCCGATGCGGTGATATTAATTGATGTGTAATTGGAGCCATCGAAATATCCACGGTAGATTTTAGGTCCAGTGTAGTATCCATAGTCACTTGAGAATAAGACAGGGAGAGTCGCTGGAGCAATTGGACTCAATGTAGTTGTTTTGTTACAAACAGTCCATTTTGAATCGTCGTAGGAGATTTCTTTTTCCGGAAGAGAATTTGCAGATTCCCAATTAGTTAATTTTGGCAGAGAAACAATTCTACCTTCAGTACCAGGAAGTTTTGCGATGTATGAACCATATTTTGTCTTTGTTGTGAATAATGGAAAACCATTCCATACAATAGCCTCGATCAATTTATTTCCGGAAAAGACTTCAATATTTGTGGTTTTGTCGACATCGCCAGAAATATTAACCACCCCGAAAGATGTAGTTGCATTTCGTACGAGGTATGGTCCTAAAACAAATATTTGTTCATCTGGCTTGACATCAGGATTTGATGTTGTTGCTGGAGCCCAAAATTTCCATGCTGAAGGTTGATCGAGTAAATATACTAAAGCTCCATCAGAGAATTTAACTACTGTTTGACCAGATCCTTGAGTATATGTGAAGGTTTGTGAGCTCGACGTATAGTTGGATGTGGAATTTGCAGCGAAAACAGAATTTCCATAAACTTGATAGGTCAATTTTTTTGTAGTTTTGAAAGCAAATTGACCAACTTGTCCTTCTTCGAGATATAAAACTAAAACGTCAACGTCGAACACACCATATGTAAGAATATCCGCAGATGCAAAAAGAAGTGTATGCTTTCCGAATGTATAATCTGTGACGAGAATTTTGCTTTGACGACCATTTAGATTAACATTAGAAGCAGTCACAGCACCCAAGGAGGTATTTAGGTATACATCAAATGTTACTGATGCTGTTGAGCTGGACTTCGCTTGTTGGACTGTTGTAAATCCAGCTTGAGTATCAGGGTTTCGCAAAACCCATGACCAAATGCCAGTTGAAGAGACCTATCATTGATCAGTTTTGTTTCTGTATATGTCTGTCTATACAATGAGGTACGTACACTATATCCAGTACCATTACCGATCATATCTGTCTTGAGCAGATCAGTAGAAACTCTGGTGAAAAGTCCAATAAGTTTGGTCTGGGATAGTTTGTCTCGAATTTGACGAGTTTCCCGAAGAGGAGCTGCGTAGTCGTAAGAACTGTACACCACTGGAGCTGCAGCTATTCAGATTATTAGAATTAATTCATTTTTGTTGACAAGACACACTCACAATGACCCCAGTTTGTACCACCCCAAGCCATATATAAGCTCATAAGAGTTGTTCTTTGCCCAATGTTGTTCTTGTAATAGACGTCTGCAAAGGCAGGCGAAAGTTCAGATTGGCAATCATCATAAAAGCTACCACCCCATGGAGTAAAGTAACCACCCTCAAACTCCGGAAAGTAATTTGGTTGTGTGTAAGAGTAATTTGAGAACCATTGATAATAATTGCGAACAAGATTAAAACCAGAGGCAGGGTTAGTACATGACAATCCACCGGGGTCTACATTATTATTGTGTCAGCCAATTCGCAGGAATAGAAGATAAAACTAGACCCAAAAATACATTGAGCATCAGCAATGTAATGTACTTACACGAATCTAAGCCATAAACATTCACAGCGCCACCAACGTTTTGATAATCGGTACTCCACGATATGCTTCTTTGACCTTTCTCATTGTGACTAAGAGGGACAGTAATGCCAGCATCTCGAAATGCAGCTTTAATTTGTTCCATGTAAAGAACCAAAGAGTTAGTCGCTGAGTGAGTTGTCTCTTGAAGTTCATTCTCAACCTGATTGAGGATAACAGGCTGTCTTAGGGGTTAGCACGCGTTGATCTTTTTTAACACATGTGAAGAATCTTACGCCTCCGTTAGTGATTTGATTCTTTGCTAGAATTCCTCCAATTTCCGTGATCCATGGAAGCCAGGATTCATAATATACAGCATTGTTGCTTCTTAACGTCCCCAGACTTCCATCGGAACCCCATAACGCGAAGCCTCCACCATTGGTCTCAGCGTTGCAATAAGGTCTGTGTAATTTTGGAGTCAGCGAATGCCTCTTTCCAGATAAAGATATTGGTGGAAATCAAGAGGAAGAGGGGTTAGTTGCGTGTCAATTTGGGCATTGGGAATGAGAATTTGAAGTAGTGAACCAAATTAACTTACCCGGCTCGAGCAATGACCCAGATTCCTGCTTCCTTTGCATAATCAAGAACTCTTTGAACATTCTTGCCTGATGTTTCAAAGTCAAATTTTCCTTTTGAGGCCTCGTGATAAGACCAGAAAAAGTATACACTATACTAGTTAGACAATGCAAATTGTGCAAGATTGATCCTACCTAATTGTGTTGAAACCATTTGCTCGAAACTTTTGGAAGATATCCTAGACCAGCGTAAGATCTCTGTAAGATCTGGGGGGGGAGAAACGTACGAGCCATAGTTCGGGAACGGGCATCCGTTGATAATGAAACTCGGCAGAGCTTGACTGGCAATTAGCAAAAATTGAATAATAACTTTGAAAAATCTCACAATATGAACACTCTAGAGCCATTGACTGTCAAACTATATGGATCCCATTCTACAACATCGGTCAATCCATCATTTGTAGCAGCTCCACCCCACAATAGGAGACACAACGTCGTGAAGATGTTTAGTAACCTCATGATTTCACTTTGTGTTAGCGGACTAAACATCAATCACAAAGTACAACTTATTTCTTATATAGCAATTTGAAAATAGCATCATTTAGTAAATAAAGCTTGTGATCCAGGGGTGATGTTCTTGCCGACGCACCCCGCAATACGACGGCTCGGAAGATATTAGATTTCCAGCAATCAGAAAGACAACCATTGTGGATTCCTCGAGATCCGAAGCCATAGTGGAGATAGTACACCGGTCTTGTTTTTTGGCTAATTGCATTGTTCAAATGATGATCTTAGAGAGAAGATTTTTCAAAGTTTTTTTGTGCTAACATTTGACATAACTCGGCGAACTTTCAACCGAGCGGCAATGTATATATTGTTCGGGGTGTGATAAGTTGATATACCCCGACAGGCACAACAGGTACCAAGACCTTAAGTAGCATCTCGGCTACAGAAATTATGATATATATATTGTTCCGATGAGAATGAATCAAGGAGTGATGGTATAAGGTACCACTTGCCTTAACTGGTCATCAGAGATGTGATCTTGGACCGAGTAGGTCTAACAGGAGGCTCGGTTCAAAGGAATAAAACTGAATGGGGATGGCTTAATAGAGTCATATCAACGAATTTCAAGAGGTATGCAATGTCTTTGGCCATCATTAAAGTTATTGATGTGACATATGTTGCAGACTTGTTGTTGACTTGCTGCATTGCATTGCACCACAACCTACCTAGGTAGGTATGATTAGGTTGTTCAAGGATCAAATCTAATCCGGTAAGGCCGGTGGTAAGAACAATTTTCCGTGTCACATGATTGTCTTGGCATTTATGATGATGATGATGATGATGATGTAATGAAGCGCGCACAGCCTCTATCGGCAGCCACAAGCCGATTTCGATTGTGCCATGTTCCCGTCTTGGTATGAAGTTGGAAGTTGGGACGAAAATTCTCGTGTAACAGAAAGGTTAATCCTCGAAATATTCATCAGCTGAGCTGAGGTGAGCGGCTCCCGGCAGCTGACTGGATATTGCGATCATGTTTTGTATTTGTGACTCAATCATCATTCACTCCTTCATATTATATCAACAACGTATTTCTGAGGACTAACTACAATACACATTGACCAAGCAAGGTACAGGAGATACTGCGCACATAGAATTGAGATTTATATTTCGAAGAGATATAGATAAATATTATCAATATGGTCATCCTCGGCGGCCTTGAAATCCTCGCAGCAGGTTACCTTCTAAAACAACATCTCAAACACAAAGAAGAGAAGCAGCGCCTCGAGATTGAAGCTCTGGACCTCGACGAGCAGTCTTATCGCATTTATTCTCCTGATCGTGCCGGTCCGGGACATCGGAGACGGAGACGGTCTCGCGACCGGGAGTACGATCGCGCTTATGATAGGGATGCGAGTAGGGATAGAGGGAGAGAGAGAAGTAAGGAGCGCAGACACAGACGAAGAGATTCGCCAGAAAGAAAATATACATATGACAAAAGGGAGCGCGATAATCGAAGAGAGGATAAGAGGAGCAGTAGGGAGGATCTGAGATATACCAGTTCGCCACCACGAAAAGGATATTATGCGCCGCATCCAGAAACGCAGATGCGACAACATGCGCATTCACCCGTTGGCGCATCCTCAACACGATGGGTTCCTCCACCACCTCCTCAACAACGCATGAATACCCCGCCTATAATCACTACGTCTCCTCCTTTCAACCATCATTCTCAACCTCATTATCCGCCTTATCCAACATCACAAAAGCCTCTTCACCCAACATTCGCGAACGAACCATATGCTTACCCGCCCGAGAAGTTACCTGAGTCTATGTTGAGGCCTGGTGCGCCCACTCGGGGTCGCTCTTCATCTGCGCCGGGCGATGTATATGAGATTCCAAGAGCGAATACCTCGAGAGTTAGGATCGCGGTTCCGGGAGAAGATGAACTTACAATTCCGGGCGAAACACAAGATCCGCCACCTGCATATGAAGAGATTGGAGGAAGACGTTGAAAAGATTCATACAGATACCGCCAGGCCGGTCGGTTGCGATAATGATCATGTATGACGAACGAGGCTTAGGGACTTGGGGTTGGTTATGCGATAATACTTGCATCATATGGATTTTGATTTATTGACTTAGGTTAGGAGTTTAGTATGTTTCGGCATATCCATTGGGACAGATTTATTTCCAAGGGAGAATATCATACACGGTTATTCATGGATCGATTGATTTCGGCACAGCTACTCGGTGCCGGTCACCGGTCTGGCGCGATCTCATATCGCTTGTAGGATATGATACATCGGAGGCAAGAGCTTCATCTCATTTTGGAAAAAGGTTCACAAGGAAAAGATTCAGTTATTTTCGGTGGAAAGTTTGCCGTTGCTTAATGGATTCAGTATAATTTTTTCTTAGTCCACAGGGCCCTTTGTGGCTCTCAATTGGCTTTACCGTGAACTCCTGACTCCCATGACATCGGCTCAACGACAATAGCGGCGAAGATATAAGTATAGCCCCTTCCCTCTATTGTGAGCCCATCGAGGTCTAGCCTCGCGATATATGATTTTGAAATGTCCTGTTAGTTATCATGCCGGACTATATCTTTTCATTATCCTTCATTCTTAAGAACCTGTTCCGGGAACAAGACGACCCGAGAAGATCTTCACACAAGGGAGTGTAACCTCATTGCCGCATTTTGGCATTGACAAGAGATACTTTACAACACCACCCTATGTGTACGTTTAGAGGCGGAGTCGCTTCTTGAGCTTATCAAGCAAACAAAATCAAGATGATTAACAGACCCAGTTGGGGGCAAAATATCGTCAACGCCTGGGACGTCTCAGATCTTGTCTATGCATGATAATTTGATGTTGGTAATCGGATCTACCCGCTCGAGACAATGTCAGACGGCAGATCAACCTTGACAACACGACAAAGTTGTCTCATGTTATCAAAATACATTCTCAACCCTACCATTTAAATGTCATAACGGACACACAAGTATTCAAACACCTGTTCAAATAATAACGGCCACGGTTATACTGTCTGATAGACTATCGAGAAAATTGTAGTCCTAGCGAACAGCTGCGACAAAACTAAAGTAGTTCCAACTTGAAGGATTGTAATTGAAGCCTAACTCGACAGGCCGATACAACCTCATTCGCTGTCACTACAACCTCTTTCTTGTGCCGTGCGAATATTATCAATCAGTCCCACAGGGATCAAAAGGAAATTTGTACATGAATTTAAGAACATCTCAAGTACCATTTTTATAGTTCTTCTCCTCTACTTTTCCACTACTCCCTCACTCATTCGTCACATCTGGAAAATTTTCCTTCACACAACGATGAACATTCTGTTACGTCCATTCTCTGTTTCTTCTTGTAGTGCACTCTCTCTTCTCCTATTCGCAAGTCGAGTAATTGCAGACTTTACAATAACGAATTAGTAAATAAGTGTAATATTTCAAGTACGTATTCAAATTCATTAAAAGCCCCAGTTCCCACCAATTCAAATTCAAAAGCTAAGCAACAAAATTTCCACGAGCTCGAAACACTTCTGCTTCTCCTGCTTCAATGAAAAGATGGAATTTATCTTCTTCATCGCCATCCTCGATTTTCTCTTCGCCAGTATCGACTTGAATGCTTTTTTGAGGAGCCGCTTGCAAGTGCCCCTTGAATATAGCCTTGACACCCGCTTTGAACATAGGTTTCAATCCCTCACGAGAATCAACACACGCCTGTGTAAAAGCCGGTCCTTTGCCGCCAATCCCTGCGGCCTTTGTGAACTTTTCCGAATCTTCCAATAGCTCGTACGTGACAGTGAAGCCAAACGCAACAAGAGGTCCAATGACGGGGATGAATCCCAGTCCCACGGCAACAAAGCCAACGAAAAGATCCTTGATAAACTTATCTTCCGGCTCTTCCTTAACGTATTGTATCTTAAGGCCAGCCTCTTTCCCCTGTGCAGCGGCCCAATCGATGGATTGAGCCATGTCAATATCCGCGATAACTTTTGATTCATGGACACAACGTCTGTCGAACAAGGCAAAGCAAGCATATATATCCTGCCACTCTTCGGTACGATTATCTTCTGGAACCAAAAGCTGGCATGCCAATTTGAAAACATCAATTCGAAGTGTCCATTGAGGCCGCATCCCCAATCCCGTTGTGTCATCTGCCACTGTGTCTTTGGCATAGCTGACCTTAGCAAAAACCTGACTTGGCGCCTTTCCATCAGCCTTGACAAAGCCAGGTGTGAGTCCAGGCTCCGGTATTGGAGGACCTTCGTTTCCAGCTTCTTTGGCCAGATCCCATAATCTATTGTTTATTGCAACGAGTTGGTTCATTTGCTTACCCCAGGCCCAGTTGTGATTCCTTACTTTGTTCCAGTCCTCGATAGCTTTATTGACTTGGGAGATCGAATTCCAGCGATAATTTTTGAGAACATATGATTTTGGTATCCCCTTTTGACCACGGACATCGACACGCGAGAAAATTGCATGTCCCTTGTGCCGAGGATGAGCATTGAACGCGCAGGGAATGTAGATGGCCCTGATAGGGTATGTCAGATCGACCCAGAAGAAGCGTTCCTGAGTAGTTGGGCGGGGAACTGCGACGTAGCAAACAGCGGCAGAGCCTGTTTGACGCCACAGCTGACCACGACTGATATTGCATTTGAGGCGATATGTGCGTTTGATGTCCTCGGCGCTAGGGCCGTACATTCTGGAAGATCGGGGAGTCAGTATTGCCTATTGAAGCAAGATTTTGAAGAAGAAAAAAAGAAGAAATAGAAGGGCTGAGAAGCAAATTAAAGATACTTCTTTATTAGCCATCAAATGGATAATGGAGGGTGAAATATGGGAAGAAAATTAGACATTAAGAAAGCGCTTGGTCAGCGTATTGTACTGACGCGGTCATAAATTCATAGCGGCCGTACCCTGTGCTGGCAAGGCCCCCCTCAAAGACTTGTTGTCCGGTTCTTGGGTGACCGCCGTACTTTAATGGCGGGGGCCACATGTATGCTTCGTCTTCTGTCGCGTTGTAAACGACTTCGAGAAGCATCCACGAATAGAAGTCTTCCGGCTTCGAGCCATCGTAGCCTGGGCTCTTGAGACTTTCTTTCAAGAACCACACTGTACCTTCACGAGGTGCTGCAGCCATTTTATGTCTTGGTTGAAGGCAGAATAGATGTATAGTAGAAGGGAAGTCGAAGAGGAATGTGCAGTTCGCAGTTCAGGTGCAGTATATCCGTTTTAACAGGAAATGTTTACGATATAAGAAACCACAACTAACAGTGGCATTAAACTCGACCGAGGTTCATGCTACAACTGGCACTGCTCTCGTGCCTAATACCGTGTGGCGCACTTACACAATATGCTGTCGACATTGATTATTCCGAATTCTGCGACATTCGGGTATCAGATTATGTCACCAGCTACTATGAGGTTCCACAGGTGTTTCTCCGCTTTAGCAGATCGGCGTGGATACTGCTGTCTTTACCTGATCCTGCATTATTTCGATCAGAAGTCAATGTCGAGTAAAGTAAAGTGTTTCATCACTTAGGTTTCGTTCCGCATATCTGCATGCGGGTCCCAAAAAATTGTCCACGTCGACTGTGTTCAGCTAAATTCTCGTAGAAGGCTGAGCTGGATATCGAGCGATTCAGTCAGTGTAACATATTTTGAACACTCTCGAAATCGGTTTAACAAAGACGGAAGCATGGTGATCGACTTGGCGTCGTAACTACACCCTACGAAATCCAATAATCAGGAATTTCCTGACTCGGTGTCGGGAAACGACGATTTCAGATCGAAATCGTAAATTTCAGATTTTGCTCTTCTCAATTAAAATTAGATCAAATATCTAAGATAAACTTCATAATTCTTCGGTATATCTGGGACTCCTGTATGATCAATTACGGTATAATGAAGTTCTACTGTACCTGAGATTGCTGCATCGCTAGCGCTTCAGCTGTCACAATCTGTTTTCTGCAGCCACCGCTTCAAATGATACTCGGCAATCAACTTGCATAATTCAGCTTCTAATCAAACGCCAGTGGGGCATGATTATTGAGAGGACATGCACAACACTAAGTTAGTGCTGCTCAGTCTCGAGTCAGTCTCTAGCTGAGTAGCTTTAGCTGAGTATGTTTGCTTTACCACATATGGGTCATTGTGCATTTAGGCAATATATTCAGCTACCACAAAGGCTGACTTGTTGTCTCAACCGCAAAGAGGGGTTCGCATTTGATGTCCATCATTTGATCAATTTGTGTTCTCAAAAATGATTATCACTTCCCGCTTCATCGTTTCTAGGTACCTTGGCAGCACGAACCCCTCATTGCTCCCAGAAACAACATCCGAGTATAGTACTAGTCCTCTGTATCCGGTATATCTCGGAGGAGACGCCCAACTTCTACATGCTACTATACTCACACTATCATTTACCTATATATCAAATTGCCCGCCTATACATTAAGCTTGCTCTATCCTTATCACAGCTTAACGACTCTCCTCCAGCTCGGCTAAGCATTTTCAAAACAAAAACAAACGTAAAGGAATATAACTCACCACCATGGTACGTTTGGCATCTGCATTAACCCTCTTTATGTCTCTTACCATTTGACTTATTTCATTTCAATTAGTTTCGCACAATCGACAATATCGCGACAGGAACTAATCCAGAGGATCGAGTCAAGAAACTCGAGGCACAGGTTGCACAGCTTCAGAAGACGGTGGACGACCTACAAAAGCGTTTGGTAGAAATGGAGAAATCTGGGGATGTGGAAGAACTCGATCTCATGAAGGTGGGCTCTCTTATATCCGAGCGCCTATTTTTACCAGACTAACTCTATCCCGAAAGATCCTCGAGCAGGCAGGCTTTGATACGAAGCTACCTGAGGAGGATTCTTCCACTGAAAAGCCAGAAGAACTTCAAATGGAATAATGATTAGTTTCTTCACTTGAACGTCTGGTTTCTGGAAGTTGATAAGAGGCATGAGGATATACATCAGGTTGGATCTTTTGCCTCACATGTACACATCCATCAGTTATGGAAAGAGCAGCTCCTTGTCTATCTGCATGATGAAGCAGACTATTCGAGAACCAATTTGAAGACATTTATGCCTAATATGCCATATCACACTCTCAAAACCCCAATGATCATATTCTATTGCGAACCACGTCATCATCTTCCCCGCAAATTTTCGATTGCGGGGTTCGCGTAACCTTAACTAGTTTTGTCTCCGCCTTTCACGAACAACGACATTCATTCCCCATGCTTTAAAATTGTCACGATAAACAACATATGTGCTGTCTTTTGCCAAATTACTTCGTCTTACTCTGATAGAAGTACTATTCGTTTGAACCAGCTTTCGTTTTTCCTTTTTGAACTCAAGGATGCGTTGCATTGTTACAGGATATTTGGCAAAATACCCCGATTTCCACTCCCACCTCCCCTCCTTTCTATAGCTGATTTTGTTACTATCAGCGATCCCACCATTGCCATTCCTGACAGTGCAGTAGCTGTCAGCTAAGAAATAAGTCACCACTGTAAAGCTACGGTACGCATTCTCTACGAGTGCATATCGAAACATTCAACTCGTGCTTGTCTCATAGCAATCGATACAATTGCTACAAAAACAAGGGAACATGGTACAGTCTGATAATTTTGATTGTTCATGTCTTGCGGAAATAGCCTGCTCGTGGAAACGGTGCTATAATCATTAGCGAAAGGGAAAAGCAACGATGAGGTTGAGGTTGAGGTTGAGGTTGAGGCTTCTTCCCCTTGGGAAATAGGAGTAAACGACGACGGGCTGATAATTGGGGTGAATCAATATAATGCATGTGTATGCCAGCCTCTTGGTGATTGGACTAGAGTACTGGAGAAGTCTCCCTTGCATGGCTATACGTAGGAGAAAAAACAGGCCGGAATTGACCACTACGCAATGGTACGTGCACCCTCACCAAAACAACGAGTAGAGAGTATTGGTCAATTCCGGCCCGTTTTTTCTCCTACGTATAGCATGGCTCGAAGCGTGAAGCCTGTATTTTGAGGCAAAAAATTGTGGGGTCAAGCTATGCTATCTCGAGGCTAGGCTAGGTGATTACCTAAGGCAATACATACCTTCCTACCTACCGAACCAAACTAAAACCTGACTTTATAACACGTATTTTTATCTTCGATAATGGCATCCCTTCTGAAATGGACAAAAGCCGCTGTCCGAAGAGCACCATCTCCACCCCTACGCTTTGCCAGCACTGGAGTTGATTTATTCAGTGATGCGCAAACCTTTGAAGAAGAACAATTTGATGGCTTCAAAAAAGGGTTATATTATCCGGTTAATATTGGAGATGTCTTTGTATCAAAATATCAGGTCCACGGAAAGCTTGGGTATGGTGTATCATCTACCGTTTGGCTGGCTCGTGATCTCCAGTAAGCTTCCTTTATGGCAAAGAATTGTATATGAAGATTAAAAAAATTAGAGCACATAAGCACGTCACCCTCAAAGTTTATATCCGTGATGGAGACCCACTAGAGGAATTCAAAATCTATCAACAATTAAGCAAAGGCAATCATTCGCATCCTGGCTATTCCCATATCAGAACTGCATTGGAAACTTTCACAATACCTCGCCCTGGTGGCGACCATACTTGCCTCGTACAAAAGCCCATGTGGGAAAGTTTCAGAGATCTTAGACATCGGATTCCAAATGGCCTTTTCACAGAGGAACTTCTTAAAGGCGCTCTCCAACAATTATTCCTGGCACTAGACTATCTGCATACAGAGTGTAAACTCGTTCATACAGGTGCGAGGCCCCATCATCTCTTCTATGGCATTCGAAAAGTACAATTAAAATAAATTCTTAATTGCTGTGTTAGTCTTATTGAATTAGGTACTAAAATTCCGATGCAGATATCAAAGCCGACAATATACTTTCCCAGATAGAGGATGATTCTATCCTTGATGCTTTCACTGCGGCGGAAATGGAATATCCTTCCCCACGAAAATTGGTCAATGGCGTAACAATCTATGCCTCGAGACAGCTGGAAGTTCCAAAATTCTTCGGTGACTCAGTTCTGAGCGATTTTGGCTCAGCAGTACAAGGTGATCTAAGAAGAAATCATAATGCGGGACCCCAGATTTACAGGGTTAGTATGATTCTGCACTTACATTTTTGTTTATTCAAAAGCCTACATCTCAAAACATTTTTCATTGGCTCTCAGTGCATGAAGCTCTGGAGAGAACATGCTAATTTCCTGATAGGCGCCTGAAGTTATGGTAAAAGCTGCCTGGAGTTATCCTGTCGATATATGGAATGTAGGTGTTATGATATGGGATTTATTTGAGGGCAAGCATATGTTCCATGGCAACGATCCCGATGGGAAAGGCTACTCTACTCGCGCGCATCTAGCAGAGGTTATTGGGATGCTAGGTCCTCCTCCGTTAGATCTGCTCGAGAAAGGAGTACGCGCTTCTGAATTTTTGGATAAAGAAGGTGTGCACTAGGAGAACCATAGACTTGAAGCAAAATGCTAATTCTCTGGGAATATAGGCAAATGGATAGCTGAAGTGCCTATTCCGCAAGGCATGGATTTGGAGAAATCCGAGATGCGTCTTGAGGGCAAGAACAAAGAAGTCTTTTTGCAAATGATGCGTGGGATGCTTCAATGGCGTCCTGAAGACAGAAAAACGGCGAGACAGATGCTTGAGGAGCCTTGGATTAACAAAATGATTGAGTAGTCATCTACACACCAAAAATGAAGGTGAAATTCTCGGTTTTGATACCGAATTAGCGAGGGATTAACATTGCATCTCTTCCTGTACAGTAATCCCTCGGAAGGACTTTACATGACCCTGTTGATCACGGGAGCTCTTATGAGATATCTCCTTTTTACAACAGATATCGGCGACTCATTATTCCATCACGGTATCCAGGGTGTTGGGTTTTCCTCAATACCGAGAACTACTGATGCAGTAAGAGAAAGACTTAAGGCCCAAGGCTTAACAACGGAATTTATACGAGAACAGAGACGATTCTCGATGTGAGACAGACGAGCTAAAGTTGAGCTAATTGTTTGTATCATGAAGATGAAATGCGCCTGTCTCGAGATGAGATAATCTAGATAAAATGAAATAATCTATCAGTAAGAGATAACTCC